TTTAAGTTTATATTAATTAAAAAAAAACTTCATCTTGCGTGGCACCTTTCTATGTCTTCTATTTCAATTTAGAAAGATTCTAGAGCACCTCATATAAAGTATAGATTTAAAACAAAGTCCGTTGGTCTCATATAAGACATCTTCTATATATTATTTGGGGATCATTTAAAAAATTATAACCTTAAGTTTGTATTAATTAAAAATAACTTCAATCTTATGTAGCATATCTCTTTACCTTCTAAATTCTATTTAACTCAATTCTAGAGCACCTTACATATATCATAGTTTAAACATATATTTACTAAAAAGATGTTGGTCACATATCTTATTAATATTTAAAATTTATCATTCATTCTTTCCTTAAATAAAAACTACGTTTTTTTTGTCACCCTCTACGAAATTACCTAATGTGATTAAAAGATATATGACAATTAATATTTTCATTAATAAAGATTTGCTAACAATTTGTATACCCTCTACCATTTTTGTTTAAATATTTGTTGTCAAAATAATTTACACAGTTACATTATTTATATAAAATAATGTATTGTATTTATATTTTTCATATATATTGTATTTTGAGTTTTTTTAAAACGGGTATCAATTAGTAAATTGTTAAATATCTCAAATAATTTTTTTTGTGAATGGTTTAATTTTTATTATAATAAGATACAAGTAATTATAAAATACATGAGTTATATTAATACATATATATAATTTAAATTAAATTACATACCATATAAAATACATATTCATATTTTGATATTTTCGTTGAAAAATATTGAGCATTTAATATTTTGCTTTAAATTTGAATTTATATTTTAATAGTTCAAAATTTTGCAATAAAAATATATTGATAATCAGAAAACCTTATAATGAGAAATTTCATTTACTAAACATCCATATTTAAATTATATTATCGATATTATTAATGTCATTTAAATTTAATTGTATCTCATATATGATGGACAAAATTGATTGTGTTGATTTATTTACTATAAAATGATTGTTAATAAATAAGAATAATCGGATTTAAATGCACACACCAAATCTCCTATATATTAATTGAGGATCATTTAAAAAGTCGTAACCTTAAATTTGTATTAATTAAAAAAAAATTATATCCTATGTGACAGTTCTCTGTGAAATTCTACTTAGAATAATTCTAAAGCACCTCATATAAATCATAGTTTTAAAACAATGTCCGTTGGTCTCATGTAAGACATCTCTATAATATTATTTGAGAAGTCAGTTTCCTATGTGTCGCATTCACATTAACTATCACGATAGTTGATTACATAGATACCCTTAATAAATTGTTAGATTTTAATATTATTATTTTTCTTATTTAGTTTTTATTTACCATTTTCCAAATAACATATATAATAGAAAGGAAATATTTCTGCAATTTTAAAACAAATTTTAAAACAAAAATATATGTATATAATATGACTTTATTAAAAAGGAAAGTTTACAAAATAGTAATATCCCCATTAATATATATTTTTAAATGACATAAAATATATTTTCAAAATAAGAAAAATATATATGTTCATGAACATCCAAAAATTTATCAGTTACACTTTATTTTCTAATATTTTTTAGAAATCAACATATAATTTGATAAATATTATGAATATACATGTATATTTAAGTGATAAATAAAACTAATTTGATTTGACTTAACTAAAATAAAGTGTAAATAAATATTATAAAAATACATGTATATTTAGGGATAAATAAAACTAATTTGATTTGACTTAACTAAAATAAAAAGTAATTATACTTCAATTTTAATTTAAAAATACATTTAACTCAATATACTCACAAAATGAATGACTCGACTGATCTAATTTATATCCAAAATTAAACATCTAACTACGTTAAGAACATATAATTTTATAATAATAATAATAATAATAATCTATTTAATTTTATACATATAAATTAGAGGTTGACTCAAAGCATATTAAAAGAAAAAAAAATATTAACCAATTACAATTTAATTCTTTTTAGGATTTATATATATTAAAAGTATTATATTATATTCATTTATTTAATTTTGAATCAAACACTTCAGATTATTATTTATTTCATTTTAACCACAATATATATTAAGTTATACATAATTTAACCATAATATATTTAAATATCTAAGAATATATTTAAATATCTAAATACAATAACCAACCGAAATAAAAATATGAAAATAAAAAAGTTTTATTATATTTAGTAAAATTTTTTTAGCTGAATTCGAAAAATAGATATTATCCAATATACTAGATTGATAACCAAACCGACAATAACATATCAAAAGTCATATGTATAATTAGAACAATATAATATTTATTAATATAAATTATAAATATAAATTGATACAAAACTAAAATTAAATATCAATCCATTATTATAAACTTTTATTTTTGTGAATATTTATACTCGTGCATGAGTACGGGAAAATCACCTAGTATCAAACTAAATAACATATCAACTTAACCTTCTATATATTCTTTCCTTAGATAAAACTTACGGAATTACCTAATGTGATTAAGATATATATGACTATTAATGATTTTAAAGAATAAAGATTTGTTCACAATTTGTATACTTTATATTATTTTGTTTAATTTTTTATTATTAAAATAAATTACACAACTACACTAATCATATAATAAAAATATAAATTTGTTTTATATATGTTGTATTTTGAAATTTTCAAAACAATTCTAAATTACTAAAAATGTTAAGAATCTCACATAAACTTTTGTGATCAAGTTGTAATTTAATTTTCTATAATAAGTTACAATGATTATAAAATTATATGAATATTTTTTATTATTTTAATAGGTGTTTATGTTAATGTAAATATATGTATATATATCATATCGTAATTAATAATTTTATTTTAAACATGTTTATAATTTAAAATTTAACTTAATTTTTATAAAATTATTTTTTATTTAAAAATTAATTTTTAAAAATATAATTTTCTGATATTATTAGACAAATAAATAAATTATATTAAATTAGAGTTGCAACTTTATATATTCTAAATGTGAATATTCTACCAACTGCTTTTTAAGAAAGCGTTAGGGAACTTGATAATGCTCTACCAGTTAAGCCATATGACACTCCGTTTATCTTCCGTCTCTCGAACACTGAAAAGTAAAAAGATATATGAACCGGACCCATTAATTTATAAGTTTTGATCTACAGTTCTAATTACAATCGTTTCTGATTCTATGTATAGATAATTATAAAAAAATTTCAGAATTCTAATTACATATAAAAACAATCATATGTAAATTTAAATCTGTGAATACTAAAGTCTTATATTTTAATTACATATACTCACTATGCGCAAGGTGCAGGTCTTATCCTAGTATCAAATTATATAACATATCAAACTAAATCTCACATATATTATTTCCTTAAATAAAACCTACAGAATTACCTAATGCGATTAAGATATATATGGCTATTAATGATTTTAAATAATACAGTCTTGTTAACAATTTGTATACTTTATATCATTTTTGTTTAATTTTTTATTATTGAAATAAATTACACAATTACACTAATCATATAATAAAAAATTAGATTTTTTTTCTATATGTCGTATTTTGAAATTTTCATAACGAGTATAAATTACTAAAACTGTTAAAAATCTCACATAATATTTTGTGATTAAGGTCTATTTTTTTATAATAAGTTACAATGATTATGAAATCAAATGAATAAATAATTTTAGTTTAATACGTGTTTATGTTAATATATATATATATATGTCATATCATATGAATAAATAATATTATTTTAAACATAATTATAATTTAAAATTTAACTTAATTTTTTTTAAAAAAAATATTATTATTTTTATTTTTTAAATATAACCAATAACCGAATTATATTCACTTAGTTTTAAGATTTTATATATTCTAAATGAAAATATTCTACCAACTACTTCTTAAGAAATGAAACTTGATAATGCTTTACCAATTAAGCCATGAGACACTCTGTTTATTTTTCATCATTCAAACACTGAAAAGTGAAAAAATATATGAACCGAATCCATTAATTTCAAAGTTTTGATCTACAGTTCTAATGACAATTGTTTCTATATAATATTTAAGGCTTCAGGTTTAAGTAAATTTTTGTGACTAAAGTTTTAACGAACTTAGGACTAGAAAATAAGCGTTCAATTAACATGGTATGTATCAATTTTCAAGAAACTTTTAGGCGGTATTTAGGCACTTTGCAGCGGATCAGAGAATCGGTTGATTAGTTGGGGCCTAAACGAGGCCTAGCATTAACGAATTGTTGATTTATCTTTTATATAGTTTACATTTATCTAAGATATTTAAATCTTTTGCTTTTATTTATTAAATTATTTTGATGAATTACCAAAATTAGATATACAGAACAAAAGAAATGTAGATAGATGTTTACCTATATATTAACATTACTACTTAATCTAACAGATTTAGACGGACTGAAATCAATTTAAACCAATTTAAATCGATTTAAACAGATTTAAAATGGTGTAAACCAATTTATAAAATCAAATTTTATGAAAATCATTTTGGTTACATATGATTGCACTCTGCTTTTAGTACTATGGCATGTATGGTATTACTCTAGGTCTAAAATATATATTTTCAAGTATGCCGTATTTTAAGACTAGCCAAAATAAATTTAAACACAGAAATAAATGGGTCAAAATGTTAGTATTATTAAAGATTGGTCAAAACTCAAAAGTAAATTTAATGAAAAAATTAAACTTTGGTCAACTTACTACATATTGATTCGACGACTTTGAATCAATTACAGTTAAGGTTACGTATATATACGACTATAAATAGGAAAGCAATTCAGTATATTTCAGNAAAATAAATTTAAACACAGAAATAAATGGGTCAAAATGTTAGTATTATTAAAGATTGGTCAAAACTCAAAAGTAAATTTAATGAAAAAATTAAACTTTGGTCAACTTACTACATATTGATTCGACGACTTTGAATCAATTACAGTTAAGGTTACGTATATATACGACTATAAATAGGAAAGCAATTCAGTATATTTCAGAATAAGTTCATCATAAATTAGAAAAAGAAAATACATTGAATTAGAAGAAGAGATGGGCGTTATGAAGATAATAGTGGCAACCATGATGATGATGATCCTGTTGGTTGGAACCATAAGAGAGACGAAAGCTACGACTGCAGCATATGCGGCATGTGTGAAACGTTGCAATAAACAGTGTGCGCCCAAACCTGGGGATAGAAATTGTGTCCCTAATTGCATCTTTTTTAACTGCGGTCCTCCTCTTCCAAGAAATGTTCGTCATGCCAAGGTCAAGGTGAATATATATAGTAGAGTATAATTAACTTTTCTTTCTACATATTTTTTTGTCACTGAAATTTCTACATGTACTATGTATTTTTTTTGAAACACACATGTTTACATGTACTATGTATACATTATACTATGTAATTGTTTACTTAATGGTTTTATAATACTTTTTAATTTTTTTTGTGGTTCTTACAAGGGTGAAGGCTCCACATAATCAGTAACCCGAGGATAAATTGTTATTGACTTTTGGATCTAACTGAAGCTGTTCAAGATTAATCAATGACACTATTGTTCCTAATTTTCACAAGACTTTTTAATGTTTTAGATGCGTGATGGCTTGTTTGTTTTCCTATACAACTTATAATATTTTGGTTTGGTTTGGCACAACTGTTTAATTTTTAAATATAATTTTAAACTATAATATTGCTTGATGAAAAATACCACATCAAATGAGAGAGTATTATCACTACCAAAAATGTAACTATGATATTGATCGGTCAGTTTTTAATTGCAAGAAACTCTAGTTTTACTGGCTTATACTTTTTATAATCAATACAATATTACAAGAGGAATAAGATCAATGTTCCGGGGTTTTTTTTTTTTAACTCATAAAACGATTGCATAAACTCAGAGGAAGTTTACCGGCACAAACATAAACAACATAAAAGAAAAAACAACAGAGAACAAGGAGCTTAGCCTAAAACACAGCTCCCACCAAAAGAACCCCATCACATTCGATAACAATAGATAAAAAACCGCCTTCCATCAACACTTAACCACAACCGTGTTTCATACCTTCCTCCGCAAGTAAACTTCTAAGCCAAGAAGGACTACCTTGAGCCACATAGGATTGGGATCTCTTTTCCTTTGTCACACTTCGAGCAATCAGAAATGCAGCTTTGTTAGCCTCCCTGCTTACAGAGCACACCTTCCACTCTGCAATCTTGCTTAGACTTTCCCTTATCTCCTCTCCATATGCCCGAAAAGCAGGCCACTCTTTTGGTCGCTCATCTGATCCCTCTAGTTCGCTAGCCTCTATTTCAAAAGCTATATTCTGAGCTTTGTGGGAGATCATACTTTCGATAGCCCAAATCAGACCCAACTGTTTAGCCTCCAAAAGCGATGAGACCCCACTGAAAGCTCTTCTACTATGAATCATTGTTTCTCCACAACTACTTCTAACAATCCATCCCATTCCAGCATTTAGAGGACGTTTTAGACCAGGATATCCCAATATTACACTTCAGTTGACCATTTACAGGGGCCTTCTAAACCCTACCAACATTCTGATTTCGACTCCTATCTCTACCTTCACTTTTCGCGACTTCTTGAGCATCAGACCAGTGTCTGTACTCCTCACAAGCCTTTGCTACCGTGTCTTCTGCAGCATAATCTTTTCCTTCAAAACTAAACACGTTTTTATTCTTCCATAGCAACCAGAGTATCCACGGAAATGCACCACTAATCTCCGTTGGTACCTTCGGGTCTCTCTCCAAAGTCATCAAAAAGCTGAAATTCTCGTACAAGGATCGGTGTTCAAAACCTCTTGGAGGAAAGGGGAAACCAGACGTTTCCCACACCAACCGAGCTACATGACAGGTAAAGAGAACATGGTTTATGGATTCTCCTTCTTGCCTACACCAACCGAGCTACATGACAGGTAAATAGAACATGGTTTATGGATTATCCTTCTTCCTCTGAGTTTATGCAATCGTTTTATGAGTTAAAAAAAAGATCAATGTTCCGGGTGTCCACATCATCTTAAAAAATCATCCAATTAGACATCATCTTCTTGTCACGTCAAGCACTTGCGATTCTATCTTCAATTAAAACGAGCCAAAACATGTGGACTGTACGTAGCATAATTCTATGTGGTTAAGTTATGTATAAAACTTAATATTATGATAAGAAAAATAATTCCGCGCTTTCAAAGTGCAGATCAAAATCTAGTGATATATTAAAGCTTATACATCATGAGTTTTGACATCAAATTGAGAAATTAAGATTTACCATTAGTTATGTAGATTAATAAATTAAAAAAATTCAAAAAATAATTATAAGTAGAATCATCAGATCTTTGTAAATAGCTCAGTGTGCAGTGTGGATAAAAGTTAGACTATTTTTCTCTTACAAAAAAAAATAAGAATCATCAGTTGTAGGATTATTATAAGTTTACGTAGTTTGTGATAGAGTGATAAATGTAAAAAGTAAAAAGTAACTGAAATGTTTTTTTCGTAAGTTGATCAAAAGAAATGTTATTAAGTGAGGATAACACACACATGTGCAAAAATACTGAGCCTATAATGGGCTTAATGATAGGCCCAGCTAGAAAGGGTAGTAGCCCTAGAAAACTTCATATATAAACACATTTTCTTCCACCTGTAGCCTTTCTCCGCCCAAAAAAAAAAAAACCAGTCTCAACAAGGGAGAGAAGCAAAAAATGGTATCGCTGAAGCCCCAGAAGCGGCTCGCCGCCTCAGTGATGAAGTGCGGAAAGGGCAAAGTATGGCTTGATCCTAACGAAGGCAATGACATCGCCATGGCCAATTCTCGTATGCCCTTCTTCCTCCTTTGTTATTTCATATTTTCTGATTGAAACTTGTTGATAAGAAGAAGAAAATGGTTGTTATTTATTTTTGTAGCTTTGATTCGTTGAATGATATTGAATTTGAGTTCTGTTTCACTGTTGTTTTTTAATTTCGTAAACTAGGGTTTGTGATTGTTAGAGATAGAAACATGCCATAGCACACTGTTAATGACTGTAGTAGATAGAAAAGTGTGTTATGTATTTTTGTAACATCATTTGTTGAGTGATATGGATTCACTATTTTTTTCTTTAATTTATTGAGCTAGAGTTTATGATTGTTAGGGATTTTAAACATGCCATAGAGCAATTAGAAGAAAAAAAATGATGTTATGTAGTTCTAGACTCGTTGATGATGATGATCATGATCTTTGCTTCTATTCTTCATTTTGATGGTTTTATTATAGAAGTTTTCTGATAGAGATTCTGGTGCTGTTATGTATATGTATAGGCCAAAACATCAGGAAGCTTGTGAAGGATGGTTTCATCATCAGGAAGCCAACAAAGATCCACTCACGTTCCAGAGCTCGTCGCATGAAGATTGCCAAAATGAAGGGTCGTCACTCTGGTTACGGTACGTTACATTTCGGACCAAACACTCTTGTAATATAATCACAGACCATTTATGTTTTGTTGTGTAATGAATGATTCTACAAGGTAAGAGAAAGGGTACAAGGGAGGCAAGGTTGCCAACAAAGGTGTTGTGGATGAGGAGGATGAGAGTTCTGAGGCGTCTTCTCAAGAAGTACCGTGAGTCCAAGAAGATTGACAAGCACATGTACCATGACATGTACATGAAAGTCAAGGGTAACGTGTTCAAGAACAAGCGTGTTCTGATGGAGAGTATCCACAAATCAAAGGCTGAGAAGGCTAGGGAGAAGACTTTGTCTGACCAGTTCGAGGCTAAGAGGGCTAAGAACAAGGCGAGCAGAGAAAGGAAACATGCTCGTAGAGAGGAACGACTTGCCAAAGGTCCTGGAGGAGATTTACCTGCCGCTGCACCGCCTGCCCAAACCCCAGAGTAAGTGTTTGATCACAGTTAACCATAACTGTTACTGTATTGTGGTGAGATTCTAAACTCTTGGTTTTGTTCTTGTAGGGTCCCAGTGAAAAGGTCTAAGAAGTGAGGAGAATAAGCTTTTGCTTTATAGTAATTTTTTTTAGCAGTTGTTTTTGCATGGATTTTGTGATTCAGTTTTGTCAAAACACTTTCTTTGCGACAAATATGAATGCCTTTATCATTAGTTTTGACACTAGTTTGCTGTGTTTCGTATCTCTTCTCAGTTCCTTCCCTTTGAAAGATCTTACTGGATAATTACGATTTACTTATTATTCAAAAATTCAATATACTAAATGTAATATTTTCTAAACATTTAACAGTTAACGAAGAATGGAATGGCCAGAGTCGTAAGTTTTCTTAGACAAACATATTGTTGTAAAATGATTTTAGACAACGCTAATTAACCACATGTATCACCTGAGGCAACAGTTGCTGTTGCATCGTTTGCTTGTGTTGAATGCTTCTATAGTTCTATTGAACATATAGTGTATCATATTGAAGTTGTTATCGTTCGAGGATTCACCTAACAAGTTCGGTGAAACGTACCAAGTAATCTTTATCAACTGCGTCATACTTGATTATAAGTTACCTCATAGCGAGAATGATAGATGAGTGAGCCATTATAACAAATTTAATATATGTTGACAATTAATTTTTGTATTAAAATACATTGTTTATGAATTTCAATCACGGATATTTTTATTTATTTAAATGAAATCAGTTCTTAAAAATAAAATAGAATTATTTATTTAATTCATATAATATTTTATTTTGATTAATATATTATAGACTATAATTATAAACTTTATAAAAATGGTATAGAATTTTTATTTTTCATCATGATATTAATATTTTCATTAACATTAATTTATAACACTATCATAATACTAATCAAACTTAATTAATAAAATAATTTACAAAAAACATATTTAAAACTTTTAGTAAGATTTTGTTAGATATTTTTTTCAACAGATTTTGTTGTATAAATCAAATTTAAATTTATAGTTCAAATTGATTTATTGTCAATATCTTTATCCAGATCTTTTTAGATGTTATATATTTAAATGTTATATATTTAATTGATTAATGTAAATAACTAAAGGATTATATATTTAATTATTGTAATTGTTCTACTATGACTTATCTATATATAGTAGATAAAAAAAATCTTAATCTAAAAGATTAAGTTATTTGACCGATTAACATATAGGTGGCCGGTCTTTTATTTACGTTGATGTACCAAAATAGTCTATATAATTGTACCTTTAATGGCTATTTATATATAAACCAACAAATTAAAAAATATTAAAGTGCTTAAGCATTAATATAGGGCATATTAAATTATAGTGAGATTTAGATATGATTTAGTTAGTCTTAATTTGCTTTCTTGTTTTACCCTTAATGAGAATTTGATTTATAAGCAAAATCATATTGACACAACGTAAAAAATTTCAAGGAAAATTAAGGGTAATTAGGTAAATCTAAAAAATAGATTATGTTTTAATTGTATTGACTAGATTTTGACCCGCCCTTAAAGAGGGCGGGACAACCGTTTTTACTTTAAATTTATGCCCAATTTCGATTATTCACAAGTATGTATAGGTGAGTATCCGGGTTCTGATAGATTGTCGTTAATAATTTTGGTTTGATCTGACATATATAGATTAAATACGATTACGTAAAATTTAATGTGTGGTATAGGATTGATTTTTTTATTCGTTTTTGGATAACAAATTTTAGGGACCCGATAAAATTATGAGTTCTATTCGTTAATCTAAATATTGATTTACAGACGAAATACCAGAATACCAAAATGCTTTGAAAGCACGAGTTTTTTTTTCTGAAATCTTCGTTACTCTTATTTAGTTATTGTCTAATATGTTAGAAATAGACGATTACTAACTTACTTATGAGTTTTTTTTTGTAATAGACAAAGATTGTAAATGGTCGTACAATGAGTTATACTTCTTTCTCTTTCAGATGAAGATTTTTTTTTTGTAATTAAGAGATACTATAATGAATTTCTGTTAAAATAAAAATCATGTGTCATGATAAGATTGTATGGGTTGTGATATCTTTCCTTAAATTTCCGTAAACGTAGGTTTTTGTGATTTNTCTTTCTCTTTCAGATGAAGATTTTTTTTTTGTAATTAAGAGATACTATAATGAATTTCTGTTAAAATAAAAATCATGTGTCATGATAAGATTGTATGGGTTGTGATATCTTTCCTTAAATTTCCGTAAACGTAGGTTTTTGTGATTTGCGAATTTTATAAATCTACGCCTGCTATGTAATCTTTCGCCGAAATCTTGGGGTCCAAGTTAAACGGTATTTTTGAATATCTTCGGATTTGATCAAAAAAAAAAGAAGAATATCTTCGGTTTCCCAAGTAATGTAATATTTATGTTTGTGCTTATTTTGTATGATCACTGAGGAAAGACCTGTTGGTGCTGTTTACTAAAAATAATAACTTGATCATGTTTTGATCTCTCTTTCTTTGTGCTGCAGAAGTTGATTAGAACTGGTGCTTAATTATTCAGTGCTTAGTTTATGATGTTGTTGGTTGATTTACAAATCCTAAATTACCCAGAACCATTTACTATTTCGCTATTTTTCTTCGTTCATTTCGTATTAATTGTTTTTGTTATGTTTTCATTTATCTGTTTAACTCTTCTGTCTCTTATGTTGGTGTACCGATCGTTTGGAAGCAATATTAATCTTTATTTCATGTTAGAAATTCAATTAGTTTTCCTTTAGTGAGCAAAAGTGATTGGTCATAAAGTTTGCGATTATTTCATAATCAAAAGTTTACAATCATTTTTTTTTTTGCGTAAACCATAAACCTTGAAGCTGTTTGGCTAACCACTTCTCACAAAATCATTATCAATAAAACATTGTATAAAGAACATATTATACAGACACAAACTGATCAAAGTCGAATACAAAAGAAATTAGAAATTTAATGCGGTTTTTCAAATTCTACTTATTAATTTTTCTTTATAATTGTTATTTTTAAGTGGACTAAAGTTTTAGCATTTTGAATAATTCTAACCTGTACAAAAATCATAACATTACATAAATCAGAACATTATATTAATTTCAAAATTCAGAACATATAATTCATATAACTTTTAGTATAATAAAATTGACGTGTTTGTTTTTAATAAGAAAAAGTAGGAGAGACATAAATAAAAACATGACTGAATAATAATAAAACCTATTGTTGTATTCTTCATTATTTTATATTTTTACATACATTATTTTTTTATTTCAATACCAAAATAAAATTTTATGTATTACTATAATTGTAATCTAATTAGTTTTAAGTGTTTGGGAAAAATGAGCAGTAAATATAAATATAAATGATAAGTTATAAAATTGTTAATGTCGAAGATGCAAAATATAAATTACATTAAATGGAAACTAAAATTATTTTAAAATAATGATAAGTGCTTTTTGCGGTAAAATAAATTTTAAAATGTGTGATAACAAAACTTATACAAATAGAAACATATTATTTTGATATATTAAACTATAGAATCTCACGGTTATATTAAGTATTCATGTCTAGAATAATGACTTTGCATCATTTAAAAATTTAGATATTTTTATGATGTATAATTAGTTAACCAAATTTATTTAAAATAGGTATATATTGAAATAATTTTAAAAACAAAAAATAATATTTTTAAAAAATATTTATTTTAATTAAAACATTGATCAACTGAATAAGTGTTTGATTTCCCTTGTTTGAATCAAACTCTGTGCAATTATTATATTTTTTCCGCATTATGTATCAATTTGCTCTAATGCATAGATACACAACTATTTGTAATTCGTCACTGATTGTGTTTACTCACTGTTGTATACATCTACAAATTTACAAAAATGGCTTTAACAAAAAAATTTAAAGTTGATATATATTAATTCATATAGCCCTACTAAAATTATATATTTAAAGGATAACTACCATGGAAAATTAACTAAAGAAGTGGAAATATATTACACAGAAATAGGAGATGGTTATCTGCAATGTACGGAAAAACAAAAAAAAAATTATTTAAAATCATACCTTAAATTATAGTACTTATAGTTATGTAAATTTGATTCACGCTTTTAAAGTGCAGAACTTTTTTGTTTATAATTTTTAAAATAATAGAACCTATAGTTATGTAATTTTGTTTATTTTAGAGCTACTAAATTTTCAATATATTGTGTAATGGTTTTTTAGAGAAAAAAATCAAATGAAATTGTGGAGTCAATTATTGGTTTTAGTTTAAAAACTAATAGACAATGTGTTTTTTAGTATTTGAGTTTTCACTTGTATCTGTCATCGATATTTCTAAAAGTTCAGATTTGCTATTTAATGCACGTTTTTGTTATTGGGCATATTAAACACCCGTAAACGAAAAGTCTATTTATATTAGAAAATGTTTAGCAATAAAAAAGTCTATTTATATGAATAAGTTGTTTAAAAGTGTAACTGTAAAGATATAAGGTAGGATTTTTAAAGATTTTGATGGTTACCTATGTTTTCTGAAATATTGTAGATTGAATTATCTTTTGACATTCTNTTTTGTTATTGGGCATATTAAACACCCGTAAACGAAAAGTCTATTTATATTAGAAAATGTTTAGCAATAAAAAAGTCTATTTATATGAATAAGTTGTTTAAAAGTGTAACTGTAAAGATATAAGGTAGGATTTTTAAAGATTTTGATGGTTACCTATGTTTTCTGAAATATTGTAGATTGAATTATCTTTTGACATTCTATTGTTTTCTGTTAAATTTAATATACAGGCCTCATGCACGTATTTAGGAAATATGTATAACATTAACTTAATATTTTTGAAATTGTTGCCTAAAATGTAGATGTGAAATCGTTTTTTTTTGTAGAAAATCCTGGAATTATCTACATCTATTTAATTGATATATATCTTTAACACATAGAGATTTTTTAATGAGTTAATCTCCATATCTATGTTCAAAATTTGAAAGTAATTAGGTAATGTCTAATAATTAGAGATCTAAATTCTTAAATATATTTTATGGAAACAAATGATAAAAAATGATATATTCGCTTCTATTATTGAGTTAATATTTATTTGTATACAAAAAATTCGAAAGTAATTAGATATATCCAATAATTAAAGTTCCAAAATCTACTATAATCTTTTGTTTTGATTAAAAATGGGATATATTCTCATATATTATTATCTAACACCGGTATATTCTAAAGAAGCTTTTAAAAAAAAAAAAGGAATTTACAGATATTATTAAACTAATATTTTTAATAACGTAATTACATCAATATTTTTTAAAGGGGAGTTTATACTTTTTCAACCAAAAAAATCTCATTGTGTGCAGAACAAATGTTTTGCTATCATTCTGTTAATGTGAAATGGGAACATTGATGCAAGAGAATTAAAAAAAAATTGAAACCAACATAAAATAAAACAGACGTTAAAACCAAATTATACTCTAAAACATCAAAAGAAAAACTCAACTCGGTGCTGGCTTGTTTAGTAGATCAATCTTCTCCTTCAACTCGACTAAGAGCTTTTGATTGATTTTTCTCCTCTCATTGCACGAGAATCAGCAACGACGTGACTCCATCTTTAAAAATAATTAAAAGCAAATGTGGTTGTTCCTTGCGCATGTTTCATTATCAGTATAGTTTCTTTCTGAAACCCAAACAAAAAGCAAAATCAACCATTCATATTGCTTAGCAGATGAACACAAAAGAATCTCATCATAGAAATAAAACTCACATTTGTTGTTTAGGGAAGATCAGGGGAGGGCACAGTAGAAATCCCATCAAGCATGTCATTGCTATTTAAAATGAAATGTTGTAATTATATTGGTTAAATTATTAGCTATCGCTGCTATTTAAAATGAACCCATAAAAACCTTCACCAACCTGTTTACGAATGATCAAGCTCTCAATTTGTTTCTGGGGAATATCAGAGGAGGGCATAGTAGAAATCTCATTAAGCATGTCAATTTGTTTAGCCAAAAAATCAAGCTCTCTTTGTTTAGCCGAAATGTGATGAAGTAATTAAGTGATAATATATAGGCGTTTAAGGGAAGTAGGAATATTCGATTGGTTGGTACAAATAATTTCCATATATTTTTAATTTCCATGTTTTTAAATAAACACTGACTTTTTTATTAATTAAACTAAAAGGAAAAAGATACTAAAAATAAGGAATTGTTTAACTAAAAATATTTAATTAAAAACATAGATTAAAAATATCTCAGTGGCAAAGGATGGTAAATATTTTAGAACTTCAAGGACACCTCAAAATAAGGCCTTGTGTTTTAATAGTATAGATTACAGTGGCTTATATTTACGACTATAAATATTTTATATATTCAATATATTTCAGAATAGGTTCATCACAAATTAGAAAAAGAAAATACGCTGACTTAGAAGAAGAGATGGGAGTTATAAAGATAATAATGGTAACGTTGATAATGATGATGATGTTGGTTGGAACCATAAGAGAGACGAAGGCTACGTCTGCAACATATTGGGCATGTGTGAAACACTGCAAGGACGAATTTTGTTCGTCCAAGCCTGGGGATAAGAATTGTTTCCCTAATTGCATCTTTTATAACTGCGGTTCAACTCCACCAAGAAATATTCGTAATGCCAAGGTGGATATACTTGTAGAATTAACTTTTCTTTCTATATGTACTATATAGACTAGCTATGTAAATCTTTACTTAATTGTTTATGATGATTTTTTTTTTGACTTTTTGTGGCTCTTAACAGGGTGAAGGATCCACTTAATTAGTGCTCCCCGAAGATAAAATGTTATTGAGTTATGGATCTAACTGAAGCTGTTAAAGATCAATCAATAACACTATTGTTCCTAATATTTATAAGACATTTCGATGTTTTAGATGCGTGCTGGTTTATTTGTTTACTAATACTATAAAAATATAATATTTTGCCAAATTTAAGCAAAAATAATAATAATATTTTGGTTTCGTTTGGCACATTTCTGTTTAATTTTATACATAATTGTAAATATAAATATTACTTAATGAAAATACCATACCAAATGACAGATTACTATCACTAACAAAAATGTAACTAAGTTATTGATCGGTCAGATTTTAATTGCAAGAAACTCTAGTTTTATTGGCTTATACTAAAAAATAAACTCCAAATATTGTTAGCGTAAACACTTTTCTCACCGTCTGAATTGTCGCAATAATCAAACTGTTCTCCGTCGATGTCTAAATCTTCATCATGATTATAATTAGAATGACTTATGTGTTCTCCACGAGTGCTTTGGTTCATTGTCTTCTTCTTACCTCTACAAGTGACCTTCATGCATAGCCGAGGTTGGTCAGACTTTAGTTGGTGTAGAAACCTTGCATTTATCGCAAATTTGTGTGTCAAGAGTTAAGCTTCATCAAATTCTTTATGCTGAGCATGTAACTCATTTCGATATTGAGATGCCCCCTATTTAATCCGCCCTCATAAAATGTTTTATCATATTTTCGAAGTTTGTGTTGTCATCATTTATTGGAATTACTTTGATTCCTCTCTAATCTACATGAAACATCTACTTGTCTTTTTCGAATGGTGATGGCAACAAACTGCTATAACCTCCTCCATCTGTTTTCTTGGGATTAACGTGAAACATCCATTAGTCCAAAAAGATAATATCATGAACTGGAGAAGAAGATTTGGCTAAAACTAGAATTTGTTCCATATCCAAGACCTAATCGAACTACTTTCTTTCACTGGCCAGAATGTTTTTTTTTTTTTGTGTGAATCAGACATCGATTAATCCATCTTACCCACAGGGAAATGGATGAGAGGATTCTCCAAACTAACTTCAAACACGAGACATCATTTGCTACCTTGATTGATTCATAAACCCAACCTGTTCTAATCTTTATGTTTGCAACAATCTTTCCATGATACTTTTCTTGTATTTAAAACCGGACTGGACCATTGGAAAGCTGCACACAAGCTTTCAATGTTCTAAATACAACTTTTTGGTAATCTGAAAGAGGATATTGAAAAGTTGGTAAGGCTATGAATGACTGAATTTATCAGCTGTAACCCCCCGGCCCGCAAAGGAGAGAAATCTCACTGTCCAGGAGCGCATATATCCTTGATCGTAGTCTCTCTATAAGTGGAGCATAAACATGAGCAGTCCTCTGCTTTGTCTTCAAGGCCAGCACAAGATACCAGGCAGGAAGATCCCCATGAGATAAAGTGAAGTGACTAAGCATGTCCTGCAAACCCGATGCCTCCGCAAAGCATTTGAAAATATCCAGAATATCGTCTATTGAGTCTCTCTTACCATATGAAAATAAGAAGATCGTCTGCAAAGCTCAGATGTGTAAGCTTTATTCTCTTTTGTGCATATCAACTTTCTATATAATATTTAAGGCATCAGGTTTAAGTAAATTTTTATGACTAAAGTTTTAACTAACTTAGGACTAGAAAATAAGCGTTCTATTAACATGGTATGTATCAATTTTCAAGAAACTGTTATGCGGTATTTAGGCACTTTGCAGCGGACCAGAGAATCGTTGATTAGTTTGGGCTTAAACGAGGCCTAGCATTAACGAATTGTTGATATATCTTTTATATATTTTACATTTATCTAAGATATTTTTTTTGGCTTTATTTATAAAATTATTTTGATGAATTATTAAATTTAGATATACAAAACAAAAGAAATGTAGATAGATGTTTAGCTATATATTAACATTATTACTTAATCTAACAGATTTAGTCAGACTGAAATCAATTAAACCAATTTAAATTGATTTAAACAGATTTAAAATGGTTTAAACCAATTTATAAAATCAAATTTTATGAAAATCATTTCGGTTACATATGATTACACTCTACTTTTAGAACTATGGCATGTATGGTATTACTCTAGGTCTAAGATATATATTTTTGACGACTTATTCTTGGGTTCACCCCCTAGGGTGAACCTTTAGGTACACCAACCAATAGGGTGGTGTTATTTTATATTTGATATCTTTTAAAAAATGAAACAAAATCTTGTCAAGTTATATTATGTTTTTAAAATAAAAAGAGAAAAAATAAATAAAAATACAAAAAAAAATCTTTAAAAAAATATTTTAACATTATATTATGTTTTAAAATAAAAGATGAAAATAAAATAAAAACAGTAATAATTACAAAAAAACAATTTAAAACAAAAAATATTTTAATATATCTTTAAAATAAAAACATTTGTTTAAAATAAAAAGATAAAATAAATAAAAAATAGTATAATTGGTTAGTATTAATTTATCCAAGGGTTAAGATTTTTCCAAAGGGTTTATGATTTACCCAAGGGTTTAGGGTTTAGGATTAGGGTTTAGGGTTTAGTATTAGGGTTTAGGGTTTAGGATTAGAGTTTAGGGTTTAGTGTTAAATATTTTTTTTAAGTTTTTTTCGTTTTTTTTTAATATTATTATTTATTATTTATTTTTATATTTTATTTTTAAAACATAATATAACTTAACAAGATTTTATTTCCTTTTCTAAAAGATATCAAATATAAAATAACACCATCCTATTGGTTGGTGAACCTCTAGATTCACCCTATGGGGTGAACCTAAGAATAACTTATTTTCAAGTAGAGTTATTCTTGGGGGTGAACCTCTAAATTCACCCTCCAATAGGATTGCATCATTTCATATTTGATATCTTTTAAAAAAGGAAACAAAATCTTGTTAAGTTATATTATGTTTTTGAAAATAAAAATACCAAAAATAAATAAATAATAATAATAATTAATAAAAACAAAAACAATTCTTATAAAAAAAATATTTTAACACTAAACCCTAAACTATAATCCTAAACCCTAAACCCCTTGGTAAATCATAAATCTTTGGTAAATTTTATTAAAAAAAATCTTTAAAAAAAAATCTTTTCACTAAAACACTAAACCCTAAACTCTAATCCTAAACCCTAAACCCTTGGGTAAATCATAAATAGTAAACCCTAAACTCTAATCCTAAACCATTGTGTAAATCATAAACACTAAATCCTAAACTCTAATCCTAAACCCTAAACCCTTGGGTAAATCATAAACACTAAATTTTTATAGATTTATCCAAAGGTTTGTGATTTACCTAAGATTAGACTTTAGAGTTTAATGTTAAAATATTTTTTTTAAAATATTTATTTTCGTTTTTCTTAATTATTATTTTTTATTATTTTTGTATTTTTATATTTAAAACACACAATATAATTTAATAAGATTTTGTTTTTTTTTTAAAAAGATATCAAATATAAAATGATGCAATTCTATTGAATGATGAACTTAGAGGTTCACCCTAGGGGGTGACCCAAGAATAAGTCTTTCAAGTATGCCATATTTTAAGACTAGCCAAAATAAATTTAAACACAGAAATAAATGGGTCAAAATGTTAGTATTATTAAAGATTGGTCAAAATTCAAAAGTAAATTTAATGAAAAAATTAAACTTTGGTCAACTTACTACATATTGATTCGACGACTTTGAATCAATTACAGTTACGGTTACGTATATATACGACTATAAATAGGAAAGCAATTCAGTATATTTCAGAATAAGTTCATCATAAATTAGAAAAAGAAAATACATTGAACTAGAAGAAGAGATGGGAGTTATGAAGATAATAGTGGCAACCATGATGATGATGATCCTGTTGGTTGGAACCATAAGAGAGACGAAAGCTACGACTGCAGCATATGCGGCATGTGTGAAACGTTGCAATAAACAGTGTGCGCCCAAACCTGGGGATAGAAATTGTGTCCCTAATTGCATCTTTTTTAACTGCGGTCCTCCTCTTCCAAGAAATGTTCGTCATGCCAAGGTCAAGGTGAATATATATAGTAGAATATAATTAACTTTTCTTTCTACATNGAGACGAAAGCTACGACTGCAGCATATGCGGCATGTGTGAAACGTTGCAATAAACAGTGTGCGCCCAAACCTGGGGATAGAAATTGTGTCCCTAATTGCATCTTTTTTAACTGCGGTCCTCCTCTTCCAAGAAATGTTCGTCATGCCAAGGTCAAGGTGAATATATATAGTAGAATATAATTAACTTTTCTTTCTACATATTTTTTTTTGTCACTGAAAATTCTACATGTACTATGTATTTTTTTTTTAAACACACATGTTTACATGTACTATGTATACATTATACTATGTAATTGTTTACTTAATGGTTTTATAATACTTTTTAATTTTTTTTGTGGTTCTTACCAGGGTGAAGGCTCCACATAATCAGTAACCCCGAGGATAAATTGTTATTGACTTTTGGATCTAAGCTGTTCAAGATTAATCAATAACACTATTGTTCCTAATTTTCACAAGACCTTTTTAATGTTTTAGATGCGTGTTGGCTTGTTTGTTTACCTATACAACTTATAATATTTTGGTTTGGTTTGGCACAACTGTTTAATTTTTATATAATTTTAAAGTATAATATTGCTTGATGAAAAATACCACATCAAATGAGAGAGTATTATCACTACCAAAAATGTAACTATGATATTGATCGGTCAGTTTTTAATTGCAAAAAACTCTAGTTTTACTGGCTTATACTTTTTATAAAAGAGGAATAAGATCAATGTTCTGGTTTTTTTTTTTCTTTTTTTTTTAACTCATAAAACGATTGCATAAACTCAGAGGAAGTTTTCTGGTACAAACGTAAACAACAGAAAAGAAAACACAACAGAGAACAAGGAGCTTAGCCTAAAACACAGCTCCCACCAAAAGAACCTCATCACATTCAATAACAATAGATAAA